CATGGCTCATTGTACAGTGGGATTCCACTGCATTGATTGGCATGACATATATGAAATGGATATTTGCAAAGCATTTAGATTGTATTAAGCAATGATATATAATATTTACATACTTATGAATGTTGTTGGCGTATGTAGGTATTGTGTGACATACTACAATACATTACAACACTTGTGAAGCTGTAATTCTAGACATGCCTTAGCTATTGGGAAACATGATAAAAAACATGGAGTGTCTCGCACCAGTAAAAATATTTGCAATCATTATGATTATTCAGTGTCCTAAGTCATTATTATGTATTACATGGGAATTGAGTGTTTTGCCATAGTGTTGTGTGTGCCTTAAAAAAAGTAAGATATTAAAAACTACTTACTGGCAATAATAATCCTTGGTAACAGTCAGAAGTCATGGAAATGAAATAATGCACAAGTTAAATTTAACCATACTTTTGTTCTCAAAACATTTAACTATGCTAAATGCTTTCTATGTCAACTAGGTTTGTTTATGATTCATTTTCATGTTCAGTGAATTGAAGCGTATCGCTTTTTAAATTCAATTCATTCTTCTCAATCACTAGAATCGGATATTCATGATTTTATTTGATGGAGTGTCTTTTACTTGAATTTGAGAGTATTAAAACGATTTGTGCAAAATAGAATATATTCAAGTCAGGCAGGGTAACAGTCAACATTGCTATGTACTAGTATTTGTTTTGTTTGTTTGTTTAACGCTGCAGTATTCCAGCTGTATGGCGATGTTCCAGTAAATAATCGAGTCTGGACCAGACAATCCAATGAACAACAGCATGAGCATCAATCTACACAATTGGGATACGCTGTGTCAACCAAGCCAGCAAGCCTCGCAACCAAATCCCATTAGTCTCCTCTTACGACAAGCATTGGTTGCTAAAGACCAAGTCTAACCCGGCTCTTCATGGGTTAAATTAAATCCTATTTATTTAATTTGACAGTAATATGGTCACTGGTTATTGTCGTGATAGATTAGCACAGTCAGCATGGACAAACCATGTCAAAGAATTTATTTCTTATTGCTTTACGAATATCATGAATAATACATCATCTGCTAGTGACATGTTACTGTAATCGTTATGTGTGATGTGTGATGTGTGGCATATTTGCCTTTAAATAGTGGATTTGTTCAGCACCAATCTCAACATTTTCCAAGTGCATATATTCATGGACATGATGGTATGCTGTTATATCTTTAATTTCATGGATAGATTGTTCAGTAGAAATATGGACATGATGGGGATGGTGTATATGTTATCAAGGAGTTATCATTTACAACATTGTTACTTTGTACAAGTAAATGTGACAAAACAGTATTAAAACAAAAGTTCTGAAATAGTATAGAATGTGACCCCAAAAAGTTGGTCCTGTGTGTTATACTGAAATATTGCATGCTACTTTTTGATATATATAACCATAAATACATAATGTAATACATTTTGACATAATCACAGCTACGATTGTGTTACATAATGTAATACATTTCATGTCATAGTATGGCGCAGATCGATGCTCATAATCACAGTTCAGACTGCGCCATGATTAGTGCGGGTGTAAACCTAAACTGCTGCACAAAATGTTACAATTTAGGCACTGGATGATTATTTCCAGATTGAACGTGTTATCTTTTTAGTGGTATTTACAAAATTACTCTGCTGTTCGTTAAATTAATGAATCAGAATTAATTATGATACTTAATTAGCTATTCACCAATATGTCCAGCCCGTTCACTGCTGCCGATCTTGTTTTTATATATGACGTCTGAAGGGAATCATGGCAGTGCAAATAGGTGTTTGCTCACAACTAACTGTAACAGTTATTGCCATTTCAGAATTTCTCATGTCATTCGTGAAATACTATATATATCAATATCATAAGGTAACCTCAAATAATTGATTGTGTGACTAGTTGAGTGTTTTGTCACAGTTGATTGATAGGGAATGAAACAATTAATGACTTTGTGAACTTGAACTTGCTATTAGCTAGATCGTGTGACATACCCCCAACTAAGTTTTAAAAAAAATTATAGGGTACATCTTCATCTTTTATTTTTTCTCTTATGCTGCTTACCATGAAGAATTTTCTTTTGCTGCCCTTTATTGTTGTCAAAAACCGTGGGGGAAAATAACGGAATTGTAATTGACTGGAACTGTGCACACTTGATATTGATGTATTGGTGATAACTGTTATACAGCGTTAACTGTTCGGCAGCCAGTATGGAGTAAAGAACAACAGACACAGAACAGTAGATTCATGGTGGTGATGACTCACAGTATGATGTTTTGTGATATGTATCAAATTTGTTTTCATCTCAACAAAATCAGTAAAACAGGTATTGTGTCACCAGATTGTCTGGCCAAGACAAGCTATTACTGGATTGCCTGGACTCAATTGTTTACAGACAGACGCTGTAAAGCAGCAGTATTGCTGAGTGCAGCGTGAGCCAAGAAGTACTTTTTTAATGCAATTTGTGTGTTGCGGAAGCTCCCGGTGAAGCAGGATATGCTTACTCTTATCACAAACACCTGGTGTCGTCACTCAGCTGATCCAGTCATATAATTTTCATCATGACTTTCTGATTAATGGAATTTGTTTTGGGTGATAGGACTGATAAGAGTCTGATTTAAGTCACTGGTCAAAAGTCCACAGTAAAAAATGGAGAAGTTACAGTTTTGATCTTGTAACATGAAGTCGTTTGGCCACAGATTGGTTATTCTCTAGAATTGACATTTGGAGTTTACAGTATCAACTGAAATATGTAGGTCTGCACCTTATTAATATTATTGGTATACTGGCATATGCTTTTCAAACAATAAGTAATGCAGTATTTTTTTCTGAGTACTGGCATATTTGGTATGAAAATATAACAAGTTCTGTGATAATCTGTATTGTTTAACTTTAAGTTAGGCCCTAGGAATGTAGTTTTATAGAGCAACTGTTTCTCTACTAGCCTGAACACTGGCTCAGCAACATTTCAGTAGCTTTTACTATTAATGTAAGGGCAACACAAGGGGTAAGGCTGGGAACAGTGTAATACCATTAACTATAGCTGCAAATAGTAAGCCACGAATATAATAAACTTGATAAAAGAAAGCCATTAAACTCCAATTACTGCATCGAATGGATTGTCTGTGACTGACCCAAGTTCCAAGGGCAAGAGAAATAATGATACATAAAATATAACAATGATACTGTATATATATATGGGAGTGGAGGGCAGGGAGCCAAACCAGCTTACTTTCATAGCACCAGGATCAAAGTCACATGACTTACAATATATGCATAGGACCCCACGACCTACAGGAATTCAAGTGACAAGTCATAAAAGGTAGTTATGTGCAATGTGTATATGTTAAAATGGACTCTGTGCTAAGGCAACTCTTAAAATGGACTTATTAACAGACCTGTACAAAGCCGTGTGGATATTTTCCAGATTTAGACTTTGGACTAGTGATCAGTAATTGGCTGATCATTTAGTCTAAGGCTGAAGACTAGAAAAGTAGTTAAAACAATCTTTTCTTGCACTGAGCAAGAGCAACTGAAGCATGCCAGGGAAATGTTTAAGGGGAATGGTGCTCATCATTCTCTATGAATCTGTGGTTTCATTTGATACCTCCAATCAGAATGAGGAACAAAACTATTTTGTTGATTTTCTTAAGCATGTTAAATTTGGAAATGAGTCTAGGGTCAATTTGCAGTCTTGAGCTCAAATGTTTTAGTGTCAATCAGGGATGATTCCAAATCTTTGTGAGTTGAAATGTTGTTGACTAGACTAGTTCTTTTTACAAAGTAGACTAGGCCATTGCGTTAGGACGTTTTTATCCACTTTTGCCGTTCAATTTGAGATTTAGATCTGACCAGCAGTGTCAACTAAATGCTTTAGATTGTCGGAGGGCTGGTCTTTCACCATGACTGCTTTCTGAAGTGCTGTTTGAAAAAGTAAATCTCTATTAGGCCTGTATTCATAGTATTTCTGCAGGAAGGCACTTTTGTTTTCACAGGTTACAGTTTACCATGATCAACTGTTTTAAATCAGACATAACGCCTGAATAACGCAGTGGTAAATTTAAAGGTTTCAAATAGAAATTCAATATGGATGCCAGGTGGATAATCTGCTCCTCCAAAACCTTCACCAACAAGGCTTATGGGGCTGAATATTCCTTGTAAACATGCACACTCATGTAGTTCTTAATTAGCTCCAGGTATTTTCATCATGTTTGTTGGAAAACACTTACAGCAACCTCGAATGGCCCTCTTGGCAGAAATATCAAAATGCCAATATGGTTGTGAAAAATAACTTGATCTGTTGAGTGTAGCTTTTATGTGTGTACATCAAGCAGAGTGGTATGGAGGAAGATTTAACCTACAATGCAAAGTGACTTCAAAACAAGGCAATCTGGTTAGTGCTGTTCCGATTAATTGATTTAATCAGTGTCTAGACAGTAGACACCAAGATTGGGTAAACGTTCAGGATTTCTGAAGATTGATCTGATTTTAACTAAACAAGTTACCTAAATGTTGTAATGGCTTGGGCACTGTGTAATATGTCACTGTCTGGGCATTGTACTTGGATGCATTTGAAGAGGTCCAGACTGAGGAGACTGGGTCAAGCTGCCCACCACCAGTCAAAACACAGGGTTGCCAAAATGTGTAGCGAAGAACACATGGCATCATAACGTTTCACAAAAATTGAAGGAAGCGTTTTCCTTTTTGAAAATCCAGTTCCTTCTGCATTTTGAAGCAGAATAATTTTTACACACCCCTTTCAGACTAGAACTTAATCACTATGGGCTGATGGGTTTATTATGAGTTATCACCGTTTCTAGTAACATGTCTTACTGATTATCTCGTCTTTATGGATTATCTCTTCTTTATTGATTATCTCGTCTCTACTGATTGCCACGTCTTTACTGATCATGTTAACAGCCGTATACATTATTTTAAAGGGAATGCATTTTTTTTTCTTCCAGACCAACAAAAAGAAATTTTTTGTGCTGCGGTCGACTAGCAGCAGTGGACCTGCTAGACTGGAATATTATGATTCCGAGAAAAAGTTCCGCAATGGACAACTTCCAAAGCGCGCTCTATACAACTGCACACACTTCTGAACATCAACAAGAAGTATGACAGTAAGCATAAATATGCCATTGCCCTGTACACCAAAGATGATTGTTTTTCTGTGATGGCGGACGATGAGAATGAGCAGGAGGACTGGTACGAGTTGCTGCTGGACTACCAGTGTGAATACCTGAGAGAAGGGGACAATAAGAGGGAACACTATGGTGAGTATACACTCAAATATATTCAAAAATATTTCATCTGACTTACAAAGCTTAGAATCTGGGGACCCTCGAACATGAGTTTCTGGGGTCATTTCCTGATTACAGGATACATGAGCCTGGTTCCATAAAGTGTTGAAATGGTGGACTGTACTGTTGTGTACAATTTGATCATTTTAATAACAGGACCCTGTTTCACAAAGCTATCGAAGTGCTATGACTGTCGTAAGTCTATGTTACAGTGTAAGAGGTATGACAGTTCTAGCACTGCAATACCTATGTGAAACGGGGCCCAGGGCCTTTATGTTTCTCAGCAAGAATTGAAGACAGAATATTAATGTGCATTTTTATACTTTTTTTGTCTACTGGATGCACATTTCTGTCCTCTCTAGATCCTTGTATATGTACAATGTGTAAATAATCAAATCATAATGGAGCTCAGAACATAGCCTTGCTCAAAGACCATACTGAATGCTGGATGTGTAGTGATTCTATCCTTTAAAAAGGCAAGTCTAGATAAGTGGACACTACAAGAATGCCAGTCTGTTAGAGGGACAATGTGTTTTTTTATTGATGTTCTTTTAGAAATTATCATTTGAACTATTATTTTATTACCTTAGAGACTTGTGCAAGTCTAATCAGAACAGTGCTGGCACAAGTGTTCCACTGGCTTAGAAATAAGGTTATATTTTCACAAGTCTGCAGAAATGATAACTGCATTGATATGATTGTAAAAAATTGTTGTCCACAAGGAAACATCCTTTCTGAATTTTATTTGTCATGGTCTCGTGGACATTGCTAACTTTGATCCGTTATCCAGGATTGGTCTGATAATATCTTATGTGGATGATACCGTACACTCTGCTTTCACTTTGTGTGAGTTCATAGAGAAAGGACCAAATTGTATGAACACCAGAGCTTTTACAAGTATGGCATGTGTGATTCTATACAAATCATTGGGGATGATCCACACAGCTGACAAGGGCATTGCATTGCAGACTTGTGATAGCAGTGTCATGGTAATCATGATCTTGCATTGATCTTTATGGTTCGTGATATATACTACTCAAACAAGTTACACTCACAGGTGCAAGTTCTGTGTGTACCAGCCATAGCAGATTAGCAGAACCTAGAACATGTGGGTAATCCCAATATTGGTTACTTTCTCATTCAGATTCAAACTCAGAATTTGGTTAGAGAATCTCTCTGTAAACTGTGAGCGGTACATTGCAACACAAACCCACAATGTGTTAGGGATTCCATATCATGACTTGATGTTTAAGATTTTAACATTGTTAAACCGAGTTCCATTGGGTTTTATCAGATATACACATAAGCAAAACTGTGTGTATGTATACATGGTATATGCTGTTAGCATAATTAGAACTAAAACGTTATGTTGCCATCCCAGCAGAGCTCATTAGTTACTCTGTCACTCACTGTGTCACTCACTCACATGACCATGCAGGTGTGTGAGCATGACAAGCATGGGAAGGTAAGGCCTAAAAAAACAAATGTTGTGGTTCTGATTACCCGACTGCCCCTTGAATTCTGGTGCCGACCTATTTTCTTTAAGAAGAATGAATAAAATAAGCTTTCAGATCCCATTGATTTTTGTCCCGGCACCAACAGATATAAGTCATTCTGATAGAGAAAGTCGACATGATGGCCGCAAGCTTGATTGAATAAACAATTACACATTAATAAATGTGTTATTAGTTTGTACTTTACTTCTAAAATAAAATATGTAAAAAAAATAATTCCGACCTACCTACCCTAAATCTTAAAGAGGTGTAATCGGAACCACAACATTCGATCCCCGACCGTATCATACCAAAAGACATTAAAACATGGTACTTGTTGGTCCCTGCCTGGCGCTCGGCATTAAAGGTTACAACAAGGCCTGGTCTGCTCGGAGTCCGTATAATGTGTCTGAGTGGGGTATTCATGCTTCACTGCGGCATGGTATCTCAGTGGGCTAGCACTATAAAACCAGCTTCAGTCTGGGCTAGTACAAGCAGCCGCACATACACACGCATGCACGTCGTCATATGAGCGAAATATTCTCAAGCACGACGTTAAACCCAATTTCACCTCACCTCACCTCTTATCATTGGCCGATTGCCTCCCTTCTCCGATAGTCCAGGAAGGTGGGTAGCCTAATGGTTAAATTGTTCGCTCGCCAGGCCGAAGGCCCGTGTTCGATTACCCACATGGGTACAATGTGTAAAGCCCATTTCTTGTGCCCCCTGCCATGATATTGGTGCAATATATATAAAAGTGGTGCAAAACCATACTCACTCCACTCTCGATAGTGCATGAGAATCAGTGTTTAAACTTAACCAGCTTAACTTAAGGGAGACTGCATAAAAAATGACAGTGATATTAAAGTTGATGATGTTCTTGTTAGGTTGGTAAAGATGGTAAGAGGGAGGTTTATTGGGTTGTGTGTGATGCTTTCTGTTCATCCATTAGGACTGGTTAAAACCAGCCAGAACTTGTTTAGTTGATGTCAGTCATTATTTATGACCAACAGTTCAAAGGTTGCAGGAAGCACATAGTCATCAAATCTGTTTTCACAAATACAAGTCATAACTTGTTGAAATGTACACACACAGAGGTCAGACCAGACGTGTCGATGAAAAACAGTTTCAGCCTGTGAAAACACTGTATAAACACTAGGTTTGTAATAATCCCTCGATGGTGTGGTGTGGTGTGTGTGTGGCGTGGCCTGGTATGGTGTAGTGTGGTAATTATTTTACCATTTAATTGATGAAGACTTATGGGGAATCTTCTGCATAAGACTCTAAAATCTGATCCTATCCTGCATGCGAACTGCTCATTGAAAGTTACTACCTTTGGTTTGCTACATCTGGGATTGAATCTCACTGAATATACCAGTGTTGTGTGTGATTCCTGTGTATTTGACAAGATGATTTTGTAAAATACTCCCAAACTATTTTCGGACGAGTCATAGCTGATGTAATATTTTATCCTTGAATCCGAATAACTCCACTAAATACAATAAGCAAATTAAGTTTTCTGAATTAAACCTCAGTTTGCAAAACTGTTCTTGAGTCTTTCTGTTTCAGCGTGTACCAGACTTGCTTAACAAGTTAAATTATGATATCATTGCTGTCATCATGTCAATATATTCAACTTCAAGTCTGTTATGAATGAATGGATTAGTAAATTATGAATAAGTAACTATGCTCTTCCTCAGATTACTTACAGTTACAACAGAGGACACCATCACAAAATATTCTTTCGCAGCGCTACTTTATCAAATAATGGAATTATTTTATGAACAAAATATTTTCATGACTCACAAATACAGAAAATTACTCCAGATTAGTTTTACTGTGAGTCACCACGACTCCCACATCTATGTAAAACCGTGTATGCTCAAGAACAGTTCATATACATTTATTGCAGACTTTGTGATGACTGTTGATTGAAACAGTTTCTGTTGGTTTTTTCACACTGACAGTCTCACAGAATGGTGTTGCCACTAATAGGTCTTTAAGTTAGCTGTCCTACCACTTCTCTTAACAAGGCAACAGACGTCATGGTTTGGTTCCTCAATTTTGACGTCTCTTTAAGGCAGAAGTGTGAAAGCACTTTGGCTTTGCCTTTCTTATTTGAAAGGACTGACATGCTGCCATCTTTGAGACCCTGATTTGTTGACGGAAGTGTAGGAATGCACATGCAAATAAGGGAGGTAACTGAGAATTATCTTCTTGTCTTCGCGGATTTGCAGTTTCGGAATTACGAAAACATTTCAAAGGTGTTTGGCAATTGTATAACTTTAAACACGTGATAAAAATTGCTACATGGAGTCACCTGGTAATATCAAGCTTTCAAAAACAATATTGTCATATGTACCGTGTAAAGAATCAACGTCATTAACTGATATGCCGAAAATATGACACACCCTTAATTGATATTCTGGGATTCAACTGAAATTATTATCCTATTTTTGAAGAAAATATTTATTCTTGAAATAAAATTTGCCTCAGGTGTTATAATAAAAAAACATACACCGGAAATGAGATTCTTGAGAGGCATTTAGAAGTTGGTGAATATATAAGACGAGTATATGGATGGCAACTTCTTGTTTATTGTACAACACAACAGAAGAAGTTGCAATCCATATACTCGTCTTATATACACCGGAAATGGTGGATACCTGGTAGAAAGGTGTGGGTAAACAACAGTTGTTTGTTCCTGTTGAAGAAAAGAAGCCCTATAGAGGAGTGAGCTGTGTGTGACGCAGATGCAGGTACACACATGGCAACACATACATCATGATCTGGACTTTTCAGTATTTCTATGGAGGCTTACACCTACATGCTATTTTCATACACACAACAGGAAGTTTTTCAGATAGACAGTCAGATGGTTTCAGATCCATAAGAAATAGTTTAGAAAGAGTCACAGTACTCCTAATCCTATGAGTTGGGTCAGACTTTTTGTTATTCCATTTTATATAATACTTAATACCTGATACAAGAAAAGTGTTCATTTGTTACACACCTATATGGTGGCTTAGAACAGGAAATAACTTCTGTGACCTGTTATAGAGAAATACATTTGTCACAACATTTTGTTTGTATTTTGAGCTGCGTGCAATTGGCAAAAGTTATGGAAATAATATATGCTCTTATGTACGTGAAGTGTGTCAACAAAATAATGTGTCTGGGTTTGAAGTGACCTGACTGGTATTAAAGAATATATGTAACTTGAAGCCAGACCAGGCATTATTCAAGAAATGTTGGAAGTCCCAGAGCTGTCTGGTCTTTATCTAAAATGTTCATCTCCCTGTGTGCCAAACATTGAAACAGTAGCTTGTACATGTGACTATTAACTTGATTAAGTGTTGGGGAATAATGCCAACAGTCTCACTTGTTACTTAATCCATATTTATCCAGCAGTAGTGTGTGGGTGTAGTCCATTGTCATGGATCCATAAGCTGTGTTGTAACAGAGGCAGTGTGCGGCAGCCTAGTGGTTAAAGCGTTCGCTCGTCACGCCGAAGACCCAGGTTAGATTCCCCACATGGGTACAACGTGTGAAGCCCATTTCTGGTGTCCCCCGCCATGATATTGCTGCAATATTGCTAAAAGCGTCGTAAAACAATACTCACTCACTCACTGTGTTGCAACAGCTAGTTATACTGCCTGCAAACTCGCAGTGTGAATCTTAGTGCAAACACACGAGTGGTGGATGATGTGAGCCTGTATCTTGTTTTGTATTGTACATCAATAAAATGTTTGCACTGTTTTACTTTTAGTCCTCTTTTGTTAGATATACTTTGAGTGATGTACTTAAAGTGTTTAAGTGACTTGGCTTATAGCGTCCATTGAATCTGTTGAACAATATTTCTGTAGTATCACTTGAAGTGTAATTGAATTGAAATTTTAGTATTCATCCACTCAAAAATATGATGTATCAGTTTTAATTAGGAAAATTAATAATTCTGTATTGTATTCACAAAAACATGCCATATTTATGCATAGTAAAGTTCTCTGTTTTGATTAGAAGACTCTTCTAACATGATCTAATGTATAGTTAGACAACCTCTCATTATGTAGGGTTTGTCTCAGTACTAACTGACATTAGGATTATATATGGAAGTGAGTGAGTGAGTTTAGTTTTAGTTTTACGCCAAACTCTGCAATATTCCAGGTATATAGTGGCGGTCTGTAAATAATCGAAGTCTGGACCAGACAATCCAGTGATCAACAGCATGAGCATCGATCTGCGCAATTGGGAACCGATGACATGTGTCAACCAAGTCAGCGAGCCTGACCACCCGATCCCGATAGTCGCCTCTTACGACAAGCATGGGTTACTGAAGATCAATATTCTAACCCGGACCTTCACGAGTCATATATAATTTCAAATTTGAATGATGATGCCTGAATGATCACATAACTCTTCTAATTTTTCAAACCTAGAATACAAATGTTATCATGGTGATTATCTTTTGCTGATTATGTTTTACAAAATGAAACTGTAACAGTTTTATTTGCTGGACACTGAATCACAATGATGGACTGTGCTGGAGAAGAATGGCAGAGTTGCAGGTTTCCTCAGCAGATTGGTCTGCAGCTCAAACCTGCATCACAAAGAGTTAAGAAAGCTGACAAGTGCAGAATTACTGAAATTATAGGTGTTCTTCCATCATAGAAACGTCAAATGTTTGACAATTTATATGTTTCCTGTCTTCTGATAATGTAAAACTTCTTAAGCACCTGAAGAATAATTGCTGAAATAATTTCCCTATTCATCATTTGTTAATGCATAAACATTAATCACACAACTGATTACATGCAGTGTGATGCCAGAATGGCAAAATCTCCAGGGCAGTTATTGATCTTTCAGTTTATCAGACTGACACACTAAGTGACCCTATGACTGATGATTGAAACAGTCTTTCATAAATGTTGATGAAATACCCTTACCATAACTGATACACTCTTCTAAAACAAGAACTTGACCTGTAACATGTTAAATACTGAGTATCTCATGGTTTCTAATCTTGACTCATGACCATGTTCACTCACTCACTCACTCACTCACTCACTTTAACTCCAAAGATAAAATGTTCACACTTTTCTTAAAGTCTGACTTTTCAATATGAAGGTTTGAGGTCACTTACCTGGCTCCTACCTGGGATTAGTCCCTTCCTGTTTTCATCTGTGCTATTCAGGGTATTGTCATGGTTGCTGTGTCTCATCAAAAGAAAGGGGGTTGGAGAGAAGGGGAGGGGTGGGGTGCAGTTCTTTACGAGGTAATAGATACTTTGTCCTTGAAATTTATGTTGTTTACGTGTTTGCCACGCAATGTCTCATGTGCCCTGCAACTCATTTTAACGGCCGGATCTCGGTGACCTGCTGTGGTCCTTTACAAGACTGCAGTCTTTTTCATAAGCCTACCCAAAGATGGCATACATTTATGTTCATATTAACTGTGGCTATTACAGGCTGGAAATGTAGAACATATGAGCATGACGGGATTGAGTCTTAAGTTCACTGGCTTTGTCAGGAACAATAATTATCTTCCCTAAAATACTGTATATTAGAAAATATTTTTTTCTTGTTCTCTTGAATTTTGAGAGGCTGCAATAGTTTAGCACTTTGCGTTATTTCATTAAGGACCCAAATGAGCTGTGAACATGGTCAGTGAAGTGTTAGGTGATATGGAGTGTGCAGTGGGTTCCAGGTGAATGTTGATGTGACAGGTATATACCTAGAGTCCTGTATTTGAGGGTCCCTTGGACTTATACTCTTATTTTTCAGGGGGTCCTGGACAACAAAATGGGGGTCCCAGACACTTAAATATTATCATTAATATTGTTATTGTATTGTGTATCATGATCATCACATTAATTGTTACAGTAATCAAATTGCAAATGATACCATAACTCAGCTAGTAGCAAACTCAGTGATAACTTCTTGATTGGAATTTTTACAAACATATTTCTGCTGCGTTCCTGTGGATGCGCTAATAAATTTTGTTGCGTCCATTGTAAATTTTTATGCGTATATGACGCAGAAATTCGTGTCCCGTAAATCCCTGATATGAGCATGAAAACCAAAACCTACAGTCTTCTAAACTTCTAACTAGAATCTTCTAAACTAGAAGTGTTCTGGGGCCGTTGAGGCAGTCTGTTCCAAAATCTGCTGAAACTTCCAGTCTGGAGACGGCTCCCTACATCAGTTTCATTAGAGTTTATTGTTTGGGGGGACTGTTATTTGTGGAACATTTGTAGACCAAACAGACTCTTCATTTTCAGCTGTAAGTTACCAGTGTATACCTTTAGGTTTATACCCAGGATGTTATGACATTGAGATGAAAACACTGCAACATGTGATCGTAAGGAAGGAAATGTACCAGCCTGGTTTAGAAGCATGGCATTGTATCCATCCAGGATCTCACAGCTGGGAGGGTTTTCCTCCACCTGAGCATGGCCGACAATGTAGTGCAGAAATATATGGAGGAAATTCCTCTGTTTAAGAATTGACATACAAGTTCAAGAATATGAATTGGTTGTAGCCAGTTAACCAATGTCAGTTTGTCTCGTGGTCATGGTATCCAGAAGGCTTAAATAATTGTCAGACTTTTACGGGTAATACATAATTGTTATCACTCTTTGAGATTGTTAAAATAGTTATCTGTAGAGACTTATTTCCTCTGGTGATGTTTGGGAATCAGTTTTGGATGCATACTTTCAAGAACTTGTATGACATTGTGTGTACATGAGAGTCTCTGTCTTCGCAAGTGGGTGAGTTGGTAAATTCACAACCATAGATTACTCCCAACTGAAAGCTGTCAATGATAAAAGCCTATGCTCTGCTTTCTCTCCTTGGTCTGGGTGCCATATAACAATTACCCATAACCTGAGATGGCATGATAAGACTAACCCCCAATCACGATTCGTGTCATGATATGTTATTCAAGATTGATACGTGTCCAGATGAGTCAGCGAGTGAGTTTTACGCCGCTTTAAGCAATATTCCAGCAATACCTGGGATGAATTCCCCATATGGGTACAATGTGTGAAGCCCATTTCCGGTGCCCCCTGCTGTGATGTTGCTGGAATATTGTTAAAATCGGCGTAAAACAAAACTCACTCACTATTAACACCGTTACATGTACGCCTTATCAGATGACACTGGAGTAGCCTTGAGGTTGAAGCTTGCCATGCCAAACACCCAGGTTTGATTCTCCATGTGGCTACTATGAAGACTGTTCTCAATGTTTTCACCAAATTGCTGGGATATTGCTTTAATTGACACTTGAGTCTCTGGGGTAATTTAAATGAATTTAAGATGTTCAAAAACATTTATGCTGAAATTATTAAGAGTCAGTGAGTATACTTTATACGCCAGAAATGTTCTTCACTCATTCTACATATCAGGGAAAATATGAAGAAAAATGGATTGAAAATAAATGCCATTACGAACCTTAGTAACAAACATTACAGTCTGGGCAAAATGTCTCATTCAACAAATTGAATTCAAACTTGTTTTATTGATTACGGTTGTACCGACTGTCATTGCTTATTCGATGTCACTGTCCAACACTGCCCAACTCTGACAGATCATTATCTGGTAGCATGTTTGTCATGTTCAAGCCCAGACCAACAGATGTTGCTTGAAGCTCTGATGGGATCCATGCAATGTCCCTGCTCCGAGCTGATAACAGATGACCTTCACCTTCTAGTTATCCTGTTTGGCAACCTTTTCCAATCATCTTGATAACGAAACCTGTGGAAGAAATAAGTCACTTGGTTACACATTCGTATCACAGTCACTAGGTTATTTTCATTTATTGTGCTGATCTGATTTCTAGAAATAGGCACGTGTTTACTCGGAGTACAGTTAGCCTTGAGTTGTTTATCTACAAATATCGCATGTGTTATGTTACTGGTCTAACATGGAAGGAATCAATACTGCCTTAAATAGAAACACCTTATCAACCCCAATTTGAAAGTAAGCTGCCATGGTTGATCTGCTCCTTGTGTTGTCTGAGGGCATGTCAGACTGGCGCTTTCAGGCGTACGGTGTAATAATAACATGTTATTGCAGGGGAATGAAAGCTGTGCTGCGCAGTGTTTGCAGATGCATAGCTGCTGGGATGTGACGAGCAATTACTGCAATGACTGCCCTTGGTAGCAATGTTGTTGATGAAGGGCTGACGTGTGTTGACAGCAGTGGTAGGGATATCAGATGCATTAAATACTTGAAACAACAAACACATGCACTGTTCATGTAAAACATGCTATATGTTTTGAACATTACTTCGTTCACATTTGTGTTTTGTTCAGCGACAATGGATAAAATGATATATACAATTGGATTTTATTGTGCTATAGAAATGAAAAAAATGTGTTTGTCAGGGGTTTTTTTTATTGGTGTTCCATGAACCGATGACTGGATTTTACATCTTGATTAGTGGTTATTTTAAGGAACATTACACGTCACTCTTGGCAGAACCATAGTGGCCATTTTGTTGAATTTCATTATCACTGAACTTTACAACTGAAGTATTGGTTATGTTTTGAAAGAAGCATGGTTACTTGCCAGGAATATATTTTGACCTGATATAACCGACAAGTTGGTACAAATTCCCAACTTGGTATAATGCTGTAATGTTGTAACAAATATGGGGCAGTCTTGTGGATAAAGCACTCACTCTGCTCTCCAAAGACCCTGGTTCAATTCCCCACATGGATGCAATGTGTGAAGCCCATTGCTGATGTCCCCGGAAATGATATTGCTGGAATATTCCTAAAAGTGGTGTAACAGAAACGGGCAGAGATTTATTTTTGTCTATTTTCAAGTTCAGAGTCTGTCAATTATCATTTTTAGGGGTCCAGATCATGAACATGGAGTTCACATGATGGTTGCTTATGGCACATTTCACCTGAATCCAAGAATATTAAAAAAGCCTGAACTAATTTCAGATGGAGATTCCAGTGTTTGAGAAGCAGCCATTTACGCTCTGAAGTTTCCTATTTTTAACAAGAATAGATTAATTACTTTGATATTACATGCTCTCCACAGTTTTGATCAGCATAAAGATTCCGCCAACAAAATAGTGCCATGGACGGCAGTCACAATATACAAGATACAGGATGGAATATCACTACTTATCAGTCAGGTCAATCACTCACAACTGGCAGCATTGCAGGTGACATTGTGAAGTGTTGATCAAAGGAACAACAGAAATTAAAAAACACACACACTACTCTTTGTCATTAGTTGGACTGCCTCTATTTTTACAATAGAGGAAAGAAGAGAGCATCACCTGCTTGGCAGTCAAAAACTGGCAATTACTTATATAAATAAGCGGAAGCACCATTGGCAATCCCAAAGTTAGTCATCATAGAGCACTAGATTGATGATCAGGTAAATCCTTATTTTTTATCAGGGTCATTGTTACATAATTCAAGTGCTGGAAATACAGATCAGTTATCAAGAAATTTGAAGGAGTAAATGTGAGCAAAACCAACTCAAAGCCTGAAAGAGAACGACTCATTTCACATTACTGGCGAATGAGGAAACATGCATGGATTAATGCTCCAAAAAAGTGTTCTGAACATAAAATACTTAATCACAAAGTGACCTTGTTTGTTGTGCGTGAAAATCGAAACATTATGTCGTCGCAATAGTTTATGTAGATACTATATTTTCCTCTCAATAATTGTTTATATTTCTGCCCTTTTATAGGCATACTTAATTCATATTGTATGGATGGATCTTCAACCTGAAATAGAAAAGATATGCTTTGTGGTGTGTGGCTTGTAGGCTCAGCTCTGGAGTTGGTCAGTGAACATGTGAGCGGTTGTGTTCTTGCTGGGCTCACGTACTGATAATCAGGCTTCAGCAATAATCTTTTGTTCTGTAATCTCTGCAGCTGGCGAATAGCCTACCCTAGCGGCATGAATATAAAGTGGCCTTGCGAGTATTGAGAGTACTAAGCATGCTAATAGTGATAACTCTGGGACTCACCATATGAGTATAGCTAATTATTATTATACAATACTTGTATACCAGATCTAATCTAACACAATTACTGTCGGAACTCCTTCAGTAGAGTCACACCCCCTTGGTAGTCAGATTACTTTTGTGAGAGTCTTCTTCATTTCATGTGACTTTGACAAAAATTATGTTTGGCATATAGAGCAGCGTTCGAAATTAACGTTTGTCCTTAGGCCCCAAGCCAAATGAAAACCGCTCAGACCCACAGCTTTTGTTTTCTTCAGGTCCTTAAGGCCGACAGCTTTTTCATTCCCAATAACTAAGAGCATTATTTCTATATTAAAATCTGGGCCTACACATTCTGACCCACAACTTTTTATCGTTCTGGGTCCATAGGGCCTGCATCTTTTCAGGGTTAAGGGCAAACTTTGATATAGAGTAAGGAAATTGATTAAACCGGTAGTGGGCAGAACACCAAATAAAAGAGTCATAATATGATATTTATGATAATATAAACCATGTATGGCAGATTCACAGTATAATTATGACAGAATCAGGTGGTCCATAACCTTTCTTTAGTAGTATGTAAAATCAGCATATTGTATATACATGTAGCAGTTTATAATAGATACCAACTTAGCTTGAAGCTTTACTTTTTATAGTAGTATATGTGCAGAGTGACTCAGTTTGTGACTGTAACCTTGTGATCATGCAGAAAGACTGACTCAGTTTGTGACTGTAACCTTGTCATGCAGAAAGACTGACTCAGTTTGTGACTGTAACCTTGTAGTCATGCAGAAAGACTGACTCAGTTTGTGACTGTAACCTTGTGGTTATGCAGAAAGACTGACTCAGTTTGTGACTGTAACCTTGTGTGTCATGCAGAAAGACTGACTCAGTTTGTGACTGTAACCTTGTAGTCATGCAGAAAGACTGACTCAGTTTGTGACTGTAACCTTGTAGTCATGTGGTCATGTCATGCAGAAAGACTGACTCAGTTTGTGACTGTAACCTTGTAGTCATGCAGAAAGACTGACTCAGTTTGTGACTGTAACCTTGTAGTTATGCAGAAAGACTGACTCAGTTTGTGACTGTAACCTTGTAGTCATGCAGAAAGACTGACTCAGTTTGTGACTGTAACCTTGTCATCATGCAGAAAGACTGACTCTCAGTTTGTGACTGTAACCTTGTAGTTATGCAGAAAGACTGACTCAGTTTGTGACTGTAACCTTGTAGTCATGCAGAAAGACTGACTCAGTTTGTGACTGTAACCTTGTAGTCATGCAGAAAGACTGACTCAGTTTGTGACTGTAACCTTGTCATGCAGAAAGACCAGTTTGTGACTGTAACCTTGTAGTCATGCAGAAAGACTGACTCAGTTTGTGACTGTAACCTTGTGGTCATGCAGAAAGACTGACTCAGTTTGTGACTGTAACCTTGTAGTCATGCAGAAAGACTGACTCAGTTTGTGACTGTAACCTTGTAGTCATGCAGAAAGACTGACTCAGTTTGTGACTGTAACCTTGTAGTCATGCAGAAAGACTGACTCAGTTTGTGACTGTAACCTTGTAGTCATGCAGAAAGACTGACTCAGTTTGTGACTGTAACCTTGTGGTTATGCAGAAAGACTGACTCAGTTTGTGACTGTAACCTTGTAGTCATGCAGAAAGACTGACTCAGTTTGTGACTGTAACCTTGTGGTCATGCAGAAAGACTGACTCAGTTTGTGACTGTAACCTTGTGGTCATGCAGAAAGACTGACTCAGTTTGTGACTGTAACCTTGTGGTTATGCAGAAAGACTGACTCAGTTTGTGACTGTAACCTTGTGATCATGCAGAAAGACTGACTCAGTTTGTGACTGTAACCTTGTAGTCATGCAGAAAGACTGACTCAGTTTGTGACTGTAACCTTGTGGTTATGCAGAAAGACTGACTCAGTTTGTGACTGTAACCTTGTAGTCATGCAGAAAGACTGACTCAGTTTGTGACTGTAACCTTGTAGTCATGCAGAAAGACTGACTCAGTTTGTGACTGTAACCTTGTAGTCATGCAGAAAGACTGACTCAGTTTGTGACTGTAACCTTGTAGTTATGCAGAAAGACTGACTCAGTTTGTGACTGTAACCTTGTCATGCAGAAAGACTGACTCAGTTTGTGACTGTAACCTTGTAGTTATGCAGAAAGACTGACTCAGTTTGTGACTGTAACCTTGTCATGCAGAAAGACTGACTCAGTTTGTGACTGTAACCTTGTAGTCATGCAGAAAGACTGACTCAGTTTGTGACTGTAACCTTGTAGTTATGCAGAAAGACTGACTCAGTTTGTGACTGTAACCTTGTCATGCAGAAAGACTGACTCAGTTTGTGACTGTAACCTTGTAGTCATGCAGAAAGACTGACTCAGTTTGTGACTGTAACCTTGTGGTCATGCAGAAAGACTGACTCAGTTTGTGACTGTAACCTTGTAGTCATGCAGAAAGACTGACTCAGTTTGTGACTGTAACCTTGTGGTCATGCAGAAAGACTGACTCAGTTTGTGACTGTAACCTTGTAGTCATGCAGAAAGACTGACTCAGTTTGTGACTGTAACCTTGTGGTCATGCAGAAAGACTGACTCAGTTTGTGACTGTAACCTTGTGGTTATGCAGAAAGACTGACTCAGTTTGTGACTGTAACCTTGTAGTCATGCAGAAAGACTGACTCAGTTTGTGACTGTAACCTGTGTAGTCATGCAGAAAGACTGACTCAGTTTGTGACTGTAACCTTGTAGTCATGCAGAAAGACTGACTCAGTTTGTGACTGTAACCTTGTGGTTATGCAGAAAGACTGACTCAGTTTGTGACTGTAACCTTGTGGTCATGCAGAAAGACTGACTCAGTTTGTGACTGTAACCTTGTAGTCATGCAGAAAGACTGACTCAGTTTGTGACTGTAACCTTGTGGTTATGCAGAAAGACTGACTCAGTTTGTGACTGTAACCTTGTAGTCATGCAGAAAGACTGATTCAGTTTGTGACTGTAACCTTGTGGTCATGCAGAAAGACTGACTCAGTTTGTGACTGTAACCTTGTGGTCATGCAGAAAGACTGACTCAGTTTGTGACTGTAACCTTGTAGTCATGCAGAAAGACTGACTCAGTTTGTGACTGTAACCTTGTCATGCAGAAAGACTGACTCAGTTTGTGACTGTAACCTTGTAGTCATGCAGAAAGACTGACTCAGTTTGTGACTGTAACCTTGTAGTCATGCAGAAAGACTGACTCAGTTTGTGACTGTAACCTTGTGGTCATGCAGAAAGACTGACTCAGTTTGTGACTGTAACCTTGTGGTCATGCAGAAAGACTGACTCAGTTTGTGACTGTAACCTTGTAGTCATGCAGAAAGACTGACTCAGTTTGTGACTGTAACCTTGTAGTCATGCAGAAAGACTGACTCAGTTTGTGACTGTAACCTTGTGGTCATGCAGAAAGACTGACTCAGTTTGTGACTGTAACCTTGTAGTCATGCAGAAAGACTGACTCAGTTTGTGACTGTAACCTTGTCATGCAGAAAGACTGACTCAGTTTGTGACTGTAACCTTGTAGTCATGCAGAAAGACTGACTCAGTTTGTGACTGTAACCTTGTGGTCATGCAGAAAGACTGACTCAGTTTGTGACTGTAACCTTGTAGTCATGCAGAAAGACTGACTCAGTTTGTGACTGTAACCTTGTAGTCATGCAGAAAGACTGATTCAGTTTGTGACTGTAACCTTGTAGTCATGCAGAAAGACTGACTCAGTTTGTGACTGTAACCTTGTGGTTATGCAGAAAGACTGACTCAGTTTGTGACTGTAACCTTGTAGTCATGCAGAAAGACTGACTCAGTTTGTGACTGTAACCTTGTGGTCATGCAGAAAGACTGACTCAGTTTGTGACTGTAACCTTGTCATGCAGAAAGACTGACTCAGTTTGTGACTGTAACCTTGTAGTCATGCAGAAAGACTGACTCAGTTTGTGACTGTAACCTTGTGGTTATGCAGAAAGACTGACTCAGTTTGTGACTGTAACCTTGTGGTTATGCAGAAAGACTGACTCAGTTTGTGACTGTAACCTTGTTGTCATGCAGAAAGACTGACTCAGTTTGTGACTGTAACCTTGTAGTCATGCAGAAAGACTGACTCAGTTTGTGACTGTAACCTTGTAGTCATGCAGAAAGACTGACTCAGTTTGTGACTGTAACCTTGTAGTCATGCAGAAAGACTGACTCAGTTTGTGACTGTAACCTTGTAGTCATGCAGAAAGACTGACTCAGTTTGTGACTGTAACCTTGTGATCATGCAGAAAGACTGACTCAGTTTGTGACTGTAACCTTGTAGTCATGCAGAAAGACTGACTCAGTTTGTGACTGTAACCTTGTAGTCATGCAGAAAGACTGACTCAGTTTGTGACTGTAACCTTGTAGTCATGCAGAAAGACTGACTCAGTTTGTGACTGTAACCTTGTAGTCATGCAGAAAGACTGACTCAGTTTGTGACTGTAACCTTGTGATCATGCAGAAAGACTGACTCAGTTTGTGACTGTAACCTTGTGGTTATGCAGAAAGACTGATTCAGTTTGTGACTGTAACCTTGTAGTCATGCAGAAAGACTGACTCAGTTTGTGACTGTAACCTTGTAGTCATGCAGAAAGACTGACTCAGTTTGTGACTGTAACCTTGTGGTCATGCAGAAAGACTGATTCAGTTTGTGACTGTAAGCTACAACCACACACTGATATTGTTCTACATTCACTGCATGGATACTAATAGCAGAGTGTTGAAATACACAGGACACATGTACTTTGAATCATATCAGTCTGTTTATCATAGTTCGAAATTAAGTCAAGTGGTCATTGTATTAACCTTCACAATGGAAGGTTCAGAGTCAGGAAGTCCGTCCATTCAGCTATTATAATGTCAAACCTCAAGGCTGAAATTTCATTTTCTTACAGTAGAGGCATGGATGAGATCCTGGAATATTTTTTAAAGAATATATCTGTTTAAGATGATACAGAAGAAAAATAATTTTACCTCAGACTTCTCAAGAAAAAGCGTACTAGATATCCAGGAAAATGTGTTGGTTCCTTTGAAAAATTGCGGTGGGGTAGTCTAGTGGTTAAGCATTCGCTTGTCCCGATTCCCCACATGGTTACAATGTTTTAAACCCATTTATGATGTGCCCTGCTGGGATATTGCTGGAATATTGCTAAAAGCGGCATAAAACTAAACTCACTCACATTATAGAAAAAACAAACTGGATGTCTTGACAGTGTAAAAAAAAATTCTTGAGATAAAATTATTAGTAATATATGTGAACCATCTGTTCATTTGGAACAATTCCCTGAGAATCATCTGTTTACATTCTGCTATCATGATGTGGATTATGACTCATGTTATTGCCAGCTTGTCTATGTTGGTTGTCACTGCCATAACAACAGCACTTGTGTAACTTGTTATGAGCCGGCTGTTCACGGTCCACCTGGCACAGACGCCATTATGAGCCGTCAATAGGAAGAGTACATCCATCTTGACATGTGGGACGCTGTAGTGGTGACATGTTAGCTCAGAAGTATCTATATTAGCATATATCGGTGCATAGTATATCAAGTCAGATGTATCACAATATAGCGACTCAAAGTTATCAGGGCAGTTAATGATCTTTCAGTTTATCAGACTGACACACTAAGTGACGGTATGACTTTCATAAATGTTGCTGAAATACCCTTACCATAACTGATACACTCTTCTAAGTCTTCAGTCTTGACTCATGATCAGACCCATGAAGATCCGGGTTAGAATTGATGTTCAGCAATCCAGGCTTGTCGTCAGAGGCGACTAACGGGATAAGGTGGTCAGGCTTGCTGACATGGTGACACATGTCATCGGCTTGCTGACATGGTTGATTACTGGATGTCATTATTTATCCAAAGCTGGGATAGATCGATGCTCATGCTGTTGATTGTCTGGTCCAGACTCAATTATTCACAGACCGTTGCCATATAGCTAGAATATTGCTGAGTGTGGCGTAAAACAACAAACCAACCAATGTCCTGAGTAGAAGAAAAGTGCCTGTATACCGGTGCTTTGTCAGTTTAATGCTGAATATAAACTACAGGTAACCTTATCCATTATATTTTTAGAATTGAATTTTCTGCCTTAGTCCTAATTGTGAAAGCTTCTGTGAGACAGTTATTAAGTAAGTTTCGTTAATAAATATGTGTTGTTAGATCATTGTCATTAAGAATTAGATAATATCACTTGACACAGTGACATCCCTAATTCAGTCATTGGCTCAGAGCGACCCATTCATGTTGTTACCAACAGATGAAAGAAGTGGATGTTATTTATTACCACTTCATCTGACTGTCTGAGTGGCTGGAGTCACCACTTCAGATGGGCTATGATGTTCCTGTTATCATTTTGAAATAAATGAACTATCTTAAACTTTGTTGGAAAGTCCACATCTTGATTCATTTTGGATGTTGTTGAGAGCTTGTATGACATACTTGAACATGGCCAAAGGCGTGACTATTTCAGATGTTACATCAATTAATTGTAGCAGAACCACAATCACAAGCAAGGCAACATGCATCGCTGCAGCAGTGGTGTATTCCATCGGATAACTTTGTCCATGGTTAACACGCTTGCCCAGCTCAATGACTTAACAGTTTCTATTGGGTCATGTTGTATGTCATGTACTCTTCTCAGCAACAGACACGGTTTAATCAACTGGAAACCCCCAAGTCATTGAGTTTGTCAAGTGTGTTAACCATGCACTGAGTCATCTGATGGAACACACCACTGCTGCAGTAAAACATGTTTATATCTACGGTAACATGGATTGCCCGCAGCTGTACACAACACATCTCTCCTGATCAAAGTGTGTATGCACCAAGGATGGCAATGTGTCGGCTGCAGAGAGCAGTGGAGTAATCTGCAGCCGAACAGGTCACTGACCAGTTCTGGAATGTCACCTGATACAACAGATGGGGTCGCGTGTGATAAGTGCTGTTGACGTTACTTACGACCAGTGAGCATGCAATCAGTTGTAGATAGCAGTAAGTTGAGATCAATGTTGAAATACTTATAGCTTACCAATGCTAACAAAATAGATTAGTCAACTTGGGAAAAATCGTGGAGTGTGTGTTATGCTATTAAGTATTTCTGGGGGGGAATTGATAGGTCTAATTTGAATAGTGTCAGTCTGTTCCAAAGGTTTTGAGTCAACTAGATTGTGGTAGCATTAATAGATTATGACCAGATGGCTCAAAACACTTGGCATCATTTTAGTGAAGAAAAGTGTTATCATATTGACTATTTTTAGCTGAAATTACTAGAACAAACTGGATATTACTTGACTCAGATTTCTAAGGGACCGTTCATAATTATTTATGGCCTTTTTTTGGGGGGGGGATGATTTTTATGGAGAAGCATGTACAATGTGAATCCCCCCCCACATGTCATGTACAATTGTGTCTCATAATTTCTAAGCGTAATTTTAAACATATTTTTATGTACAAAATTGCTGGAACACACACACCCACCCCCCACCACCCCACAGTGTGTGTGTACAAAATTGCTGCCCCCAGCTCCCAAGAACAAAATGGGTGACACACCCACACACCCCCAGCCGTACATTATGAACGGTCCCTAATTAGCAGTTAAAGTCACAGAATTTATTATAAACTGAGCCTGCTTGACCTAGCAGTGGCCATGTCTATGATGGGTTTACTGGTTCACATGTCTCATGTCATAAGTACAAGATGAATACTGTTTGTATGAATCAGTTGGGACCCAGTCATCTTCAGGCACCAGAATTCTCTTCACAGAGTTGTGTCCCTTGTCCCCAGGTCGGCTGCATATGTCTGTAAAAAGTCATTAATCGGTAGAAATCTTTTCTTATGTCATGCTGTTATTGTCATATAGTTATATGGCTTTGTTAGGCAACTCACATTTCACTTATAACAGGACAATACAGAGGAAAAGGACAAAGCTTATGTTAACATTTTTTGCCTAAAACATGTTGAATGCATTCTTAAATTCAATGTTACATCTGAATTTTGGAAAAAACTAGCTTTTGAAAAATCCATATTTTGATCAAAACAGTGAGTTTTGTCAACTTGTCTGGGGACTTTTGAAGTCTAGAGTAATTCCTGGGTGAACCAGCACTTATAATTGTGGGTTTAGATCGCAGATTCAACCAGGTTATGTTTGTATGTTGGTCACTCAGCTCTGCACCCATACTGTGAACATAGAGCCAAACATTGGATACCTGATTCAGTTCTTGTTTCCTCTTGCAGTGATGTGACTGACGTGTTGAGGCATAGAATAGAATCACTGAGTTAATGAGTGTATGCTCTTGGTCATAAGAAGGCTAAAGCTTGTTGTCTGTGGTTGCAGAGCATGTGTGGCAGGTGACCATCCAGCAGAAAGGCCTTGGGACTGTGAAGACTCTGAAGGGCAACTTCCGCCTCTGTCTGTCCAAGCAGAGCATCAGTCTTTTCAGGATTAACTCCGACAAACCACAGGTGTCTTTCCAGGTAAGAAGTCATTATTGATGCAGTGCAAAGAGCCATTTGAGTAATTGTGAATACAGAATGCCATTTAGAAAGTGGTCAAATGTAACATGTTATTTTGGGGATTACACTTTTTCAGTAAAGCACTGATTCTAGTACTTTTGCTCGGTTGAGTCCCATCTGAGATCTGAACACACACTCTCAGAGTCAGGCAGTTCTGAGAGCAAAGTACTAGAATCGGTACTTTACTGAGAAAGTCTAATCCCAAATATGATATACGGTATGTTACAAGAATTTACTATAAGTAAAACTTCTGGTAAAATGTTGTTTACTATAATCTGCAGGAATGACGGATTAGCCTAGTGGTTACTGTATTCCAAACATGGTTGATATATGTCAGTATTGACCCCTATTTGTTATGAACAGTGATCCTAGCGAGTATTATGATGTGTAGCTACCAAGTCAGCAAGCATGATAACCTGTTAGTCACATTGTATGTTGATCATTGCCCCTAAGAACCAATTTCAACTTGGAATATCATCACGGTACCTCTGCTTCCATGTTCGGATCACATGGACATGACACTCATCTTTGTATATCATAATCAAACAGATATGCTTCTCCGTTACCTTCGGGAATCCTTTTCCTGACCTTGAGTAGAGTCAAGGTGAAATTGTTGCAGTGTTTCAGTACATTGAACTGTATGGTCTTGCCCCATCCTCGATAATCTCCAGGGTATACGTTACAATCACTCTCCACTATACCCTGGATGCATCCACGGCTTGGCCCGATGATTTTATTACCTCCCTTGGCTGGCTTTTTTATCCAATCAAGTGTCTACGCTGGGAAGTTGAGCGAACCAATCACAACTCACTTTCGTTTCTTAAATTATCTAACCCTTTAAACTTGGCAACACAATTGATGCAGAGGTACTCTGAAAGAGGTAGAAGGAGTTCTTTTATATAGTTTTTGAAAATTTCAGATCTGTCAATTTGTCTGTATTATTTCCTAACAAATCTGAGTGGCACTGCGAACAAACCTTCGCGACTGCGAATGCTATCATTGTTGACACTGGCAAGCTCGGATGTAACGGCGGCTTAGCTGATTGGCTACTGTGAGAATGCGGAGCCAGCAAAGGGAGGTAATGTAATTATCAGGCCAAGCCGTGAATGCATCCATGGTATAGTGGAGAGTGATCGTAACGTATACCCTGGAGATTATCGAGGATGGGTCTTGCCCTTGCTGTGGTAGATGATGTGTTCATGAAGATTCAGCTATGTATTCTAGGATGGATGTCTTGTTTCAGCTGGCCACAGTACGGTCGCTGGCTCACCATGACAATCTGTTCCGTATGGAGGTAGGGAGCTGGGCGCCAACCGGTGCCGGGGAGCTCTGGATGCATGTTGAAGACTCAGTCATAGCACAGAGCATGCATGAAGCTATACTGAAGTAAGTGCTGGAGGTCAACCATGAGTGAACTGATCTAAAAACAATGTCATTCTGAACATTTTGGATTAATTACAGGCAGTACATGCAAACAATTTTACTGACTGACTGAGTTTGGTTTTACGCCGCTTTTAGCAATATTCCAGCATCATCAGAAATGGGCAAACAATTTTAGCTAGAGCTTGTCTTGAAATAGATGTACTGGGTATGTGTTAAATGCACAATAAAGACTGCCATCATGTTCATAAGCTGAAGGAACTCTACTGAAAGTACATTTCACTTGATTATGAACATGGAATATTATGTATCTCAGAGTGAGTTTAGTTTTACACCACTTTCAGCAATATTACAGCAATATCACAGCAGGGACGCCAGAAATGGGCTTCACACATTGTACCCATGTGGGGAATGAGGTCTTCGGTGTGACAGCACTTTAGACATCATGTGATAGGTGTTTGTGTAGTCTGGTAGTGAAAGTGTTCCCTCCTCACAACAAAAGTCTGGGTTTGTGTCTCCATACGGGTACAGTAGGTAGGAGCCACCTGCCACAATGAGGCAGATTTAGTAACTGTTGTTGTCCTATCATGTAAGAATGTCCATGTTGAGTCTTTTGAAAATATTGTCTTAATTCGTAAAATTTCCTTAGTTATGACACAATTGTAATGTGTTTTCTCAGATGTATGAAGGAAGCCACTGCCAATAGCAGTTTTGATGAGTCTGACAGTGGCCGCTTTGAAAAGCGATCGGAAAGTATAGCTTACCGCAACCGACCACATAGTCAGGACTTCCGACCTCGCACTGTCAGTGAAAGTCACACACAGAGGTGAGAAACATTTCCCACAAGCTCTACTGTCACAATTAAAATATTGTCATGAAATATGTACAACATGTCAATTTTGATTGCTGAATTATAGTAGCAAAGTTGGTTACAAAAGCTCCCAGCAATCGATGACCAAGTGACTGGATGTATCAGGCAATCTGCCCACACTAACGGCACCACATGCATTGGCTGATGTCAGGTGGTCAAGCTCGCTGTCCACATTACAGGCACCAGAAATATTCGCTGATGCAGGATATTTTGCAATGATGTTATAGAGTCAATATTCATAGTATTATGCACAATTAAAACTTTTGTTTGATTTCTCTCATGCCTTTTAATTGTACACTTACTTTAAACCTTTCCTAAACCTGTTCAGTTCTGTTTTTAAATAGCTGTTTTAAAGTGTAACAGGGACATACACCAGTGTTCAGTGGTTTATCTAACATTTTTATGGAATTATTTTCTTGCCTGCCGTTGAAACTTGAGTCGTTTCGTGTATGGCCTTTGTCCGTGTTTTTCAGTCCTCGTAGAGTTCGAGTTAAGCAGATTGATGACCATCCAAGGCCTGTGTCAACAGTCTATCCAACCAATCGCTCAACCTCACTGCCAGCAGACACTATTTCCCCAGGAACTAGTCCACTAATGTAAGTGCGTCAGTGACTTCCTGTTATTGTGGGATCAGGTTGTCAGCTCTGTTATCCCTCTTGCTCTATTGTGTCTGTCACTACATCATACTGTAAAATCAGGATTCTTGTCACCATTATATGTATGATGTTTCAGTATTTCATAGAATTGTTGAATTCTATTTGTGTTTCTAAACATCCTTATTCATTCCGAAAAATAACATAATTTTCAAACAAAAACTCTTTACAGTGAGTGAGTGGGTGAGTTTAGTTTTACGCCGCACTCAGCAATATTCCAGCTATATGGCGGCAGTCTGTAAATAATCGAGTCTGGACCAGACAATCCAGTGATCAACAGCATGACATCGATCTGTGCAAATGGGAACCGATGACATGTGTCAACCAAGTCAGTGAGCCTGACCAACCGATCCCATTAGTCGCCTCGACAATGATAGTCGCCCTTTTTGGCAAGCAAGGGTTGCTGAAGACCTATTCTATCCCGCATCCTCATGGGTCAACTCTTTACAGCATGAATGGTAATAAGATTCGATGCTCTGTATGTAAGCATTGTATAGCATCAGCTCAATATCTGACAAGTTGCCGGTGTTTAAAATATATGATCTTTGAGTTCTGAGCATGCTGGTAGTTAGAGGGTGGTCTTACTCAGAGACTTGTTCAATAGCGTGTCATCGTACCCCGAAAGTATGGATCGTTGTTCACAATATTAATCACTCGATTGTCTGGTCCAGACTCCCAATAAATTCTGATTGGTGTATTAGAATGTGAGTCCTTCATTCAAACACCTAAGACTCCATTTCGGTTAAGAATAGCTGCCTAGCAGTAAGGTCACATAGATTATTTACAGGCTGAGTGTATACTATTAAGTTCCATAAAATACTAAACACTGTGACACATTGTTAGATAATAATAATAATATAATAGGGGCCTTTGTAATGCGCTGAATTCTGCATCACGGAGGGGCACGCTCAAAGCGCTAACATACGATCTGATTATTATTATTACCCTGGATAACGCAAGCTGCCTGAGAGGCGCTAGAAGGTTAATAGTCTGGGTGTTGGGTGAACAGTTGCAATTGTGAACAAACTCACTTGCCTAAGGTGAGACCACATGCACCATATGTGCTCTCAGGAGTTCAGCCGTCACAAACAGTCACCCATCCGCGGACTCTCCATGCCCAACGTTGCTTAACTTCAACTGATTTGTGGCCTGGGCTCTAAGCACAGGACCACACACCACCACATGGTGTAATTGTTTGGTTCTAGCTGTTCATTGGCATATTTTATCAAAATGAGTTCACTCAGCATGCTCGGTATCATATTGTTTTTATTTTTTTATTTTTAAAAAAAATATTCAAGTTGTTATATTTATCTGGAACTTCATTTACCATTATCTGTTTTCCAGGCACCTAGACATGCACCTGGGCCCCACCGGTTCCGGTCCGACAGTGCCGAGTCCCGGGCATCTCGCTCCAGTATGCTGGCAGGGGCAGAGGACCTCAGTCCAATGGAATTCTTGTGAGGACACATTATCTCCTGTAGAGTGTCACTTGATAGAGTTGATACTTGACAGTAATGCTACATGTGTACTCGGCAGTTGTCATGAGTTATATCAAAGTTATATCTCTTAAACATCTCTGGTGGTACTCTTTTCATCTGTGATAGATACATCGATACACCGGAAGTCCTGTTGTTCTGGGTACCTTCATGGTGTTCGGTGAAGTCTGAAGGGGAAGGTCATGTCCTCATGTTCTTCTGTTCCCAGACCACCATCATATGCTGGGACGATGTCGGAACATTCTCCCCAGGTGATTGATGAGGAGGATGACAGCTACTTCGAGCAGGACTTCAGTTCTCATGACTTCACATCAGTCTCCTCCTCCCCAGCTGAAGGTACGTGCTTGGAGCTGGCAGTGCCTGTTTTGTGGTTGGAGCTGGCAGTGCCTGTTTTACTGTTGTGGGTCAAAGTGGAGGTAGGTGCTTGGAGCTGGCAGTGCCTGTTTCACTGTTGTGGGTCAAAGTGAAGGTAGGTGCTTGGAGCTGGCAGTGCCTGTTTCACTGTTGTGGGTCAAAGTGAAGGTAGGTGCTTGGAGCTGGCAGTGCCTGTTTCACTGTTGTGGGTCAAAGTGGAGGTACGTGCTTCTTCATTAGACCTGCTGACTGTTCAGTGCCTGTTTTACTGTTGGGGTCAAAAAGGGTATTCCATTTATCATGTTTATAGACAAACTGGCTGTTCAAGGTCTTATTGACTGTCATTAAACCTGCTTCCTGGTCAGTGCCTGTTTACAGTCCTGCCAAGCCAATGTTCAGCTGTATCAAACCAGCGTGCCAATGCTTTGACTGAACAATTGAAGTATTATTTGTCTTTTTGTTGTGCCCCTGCAGAGATATTGATTAGATTTTGCTTAGAGAAGTGTAGAAACCACACTGGCTTGTTCCCATGTTTCAGTTAAAACTCCTCTAGAAGAAGATGCTGGCCAGGCAAGCCCATATATGGACATGCGTCCGGGGAATACCACCCCTCCCACAGCTACTAGTGGGGGAGGCTATGTGGCCATGAACCTGGGCACACCCCAGTCAGGTAGGCTGCTGTAGAGATGTCACAGTGCAGGTTATACTGCCGTGTGTGGTGCAGAACTGGTGTCACTACTGAGGATTGTAGCATTCACAGAATTAGTCATGTGGAAAATCATGAGAAAATTTTGAGGTTTAAAGTGTTAATTTTTCACTTTATCTGAACACAGAGATTTTGTATGAGGTTAAAAGAAATTCCAGTCACCTGTGTTTCCAGTGGCTCAATCAATTATGGTAGGAAATCCTGCATGTGAAACACTGAGCAACTCCTTCATCACAGCACCAGTTGTCAAGGAAACTGCTAATAACAACTTTGATATATTCAAAATATTAGTAAATTTTGCTGCCTACCAATCCTTATTTGTAATGTGCATGTAACCTGATTGAAACACAGTTCTGTTGCTGAATTCTTCCCATCGATTCAAATCGGTGTCTGAGAATAATAGTTTTAAGGAAGTAATTGAGATTGGTAGAATTATTCTATTGTAAAAGGGACTTTGTCACATTAATTTTTATATCTGTGAAATTAATGTTAAAGCAGCATTTTACTTCACTCACTCACTCCCTCACTCATTCCCTCACTTTCAGCTCCTCATGATGTGAGCACAGCCAGTGCGGAGGTCGACGCCTATATGACAATGGGGCCTGGGAGGACAGTGTCGGAACCTATACCCATCAAGTCAGGGGTGCCCACCACCAGTAGTAGTGGGCCTAATGTTGGGGGTGGCACTGGCTACATGGACATGAGCCACAGCTCCCATCTCCCCACAGTCAGGGAGGGCGGCAGTAAGTCAGACATGTCTCTCTCAGAAACTCTCTCTATTTGAAATGTCCTCTCGTTAGCTGCTTGAACACTTTTGTCCAATTGTTAAGATAGATATCAGGGTTTGAGGTTTTGTTGAAATTTGGAATGCGCTGCCAGGAGATTTCTCCGGCCTCCTGGGCAAAGATTATTTACAGGGAGGTGGATGGAAGCTGCTTGTCAATCCTGCTTCCTGTCACATTCTGTTTCTGGAGCAAAGACCTTTCAATATGTCTGGACCAAACTGTCTGAAGATATCAGTCAAGCTATAAATTGGTGCCATTAGCTTTGTAGGAATTTTGGGAATTTTCCTTTTTCAAAGACATTGAAGGGTTCATTTCAACAGCATACACATTTTGTGTATTTCTTCACTCTGGTCAGCTGACTTTTGTACTTTTTCTGTCTTTTTAATTCCATCAAATCAAATGGACAGTGTCATTGTATCTGATGGTAACCACGACATACCACCACCTGGAAGTAGTAACATTCCACTTCCTGAGATCGCTAAAGGCACCAGTCAGCTAGCAGCTTATGCATCCCCATAAGATTTAGTGTCTTCAGAATATGTAATGGCAGCTTCTGTGGTCCGGACCTTGAGTCTGGCTTACAGCAGAATATAACATACATGGCGAAGCTTTCAGCATTTGAAGCATTTATCCACTCAGAAGACATTCGTGTGAGATTCTTCTGTATTGACAAATATTTTCCTTGGGCTGCTAAATAAGCTTAATGGTATTAGTAGAGTGAACATGGTTTCACCGTTGTTTGAATGTTCATTTTTAATAACTATTGTGTTTGTTTCAGACAGCCCTTCATGAATTCTATAAGAATCAATAATATTGTTTAACCTAATGTTCCTTTTTTCACAGGTAATGAAGGCTATCTCCCTATGACCCCGAACAGTGGACAAAGTCCCATAGACAGTAGCCATCTACGTCCTGAGCCGGCTGTGTACATGTTGTCAGATGATGCCAGTGAGTTCCCTAAGAGGACATACTCGCTGGGCAGCAGACCACCTACAAAGCCAGGTGCAAGGATCCCAAACATACATGACCCTGTCCCTATCAAGCGCGGAATCTTAGATAATGATGGCCGAAGTTGTAGTGCACCTCACCTCATCACTCACCGAGGTCGAAGTCTAAATGTGGAATCTCCCACGCCTAGTGCCAGCCCTCTTAGTATGTCATATAAATCGGAGTCATCTTACAGATCCGATGACTCCGATTCCTTTATGGAGTTGGACTTCCACCGACCTCGTACTGCCAGTGACAGTCATGGCTACCGCCCCAGAGCATCCAGTTTTGGCAAGTCCCCCATGCAGTCACTTCAAGGTCATCGACCCCGGTCATCTAGCTACGGGCAGAGTGCTCGGACATACAAGCTGAAACATGGAGCAAGACTGGGATCTTATGAATCTGTGAGAACCACATCCCAAGAGCTGCTACATAAATCATCTGTAGATTCATTGAGTCATCGTAGTTCTCGAGATTCCCTTAGGGTATCGTCAAATGAATCACTGAGGAAGTTGTCTGAGGAACTGAGAACAAAGACACACTTGTTGAACACCGACTACATTGACATGTCGGTGGAGAAGCGTAAGACTCCCTCCCCTCAGCCTCCAAACCGAGGGCGGGAGAATGGATACATGGACATGACCCTGGGTAGTCGCACAAACTCCCCAAGTAGGAGTAAGTCTTCACATGACTCGGGTAACACCAGTAAGTCGCAGAGCTCGGAGAAGCTTCATGTCCAGGGGCATTCAGAGGACACTTACATCAATGTGGAACCTTCTGAATTGACCTCTTCATCTTCATCAGGGTCTGCCTATATGAATTTAGACCTTCAAGATCAAGGTCATCATGCTCGGCATTCAGGTTCTGTTCAAGGTCAGTGTCGGTCGGATATCAAAGCCTCTGAAAAATTAAAACAGACAGTTGAAAGCCCAGATTCCTATGTCATGTATGAACCGAGCGTGAAGGGTGGGCATGCTGTTGATGAGAGTCATCAGCCAGTGACATTGAGACATGGAAGTGGAAGTACAGACTCCCTAAAGAAGAAGTCCAGACAGTCAGGAAGTCAGGAGAAAAGCAAAAGTAGAGATCACCGACGTAAAAGTGGGGCATCTTCGAAGAGGAAGTCTCACATTGATGAAGCTAAAGATGTTCATGTAACCAAGGTATTACAGTCATCCCATGTGACCATAAGAGACTCTGCTGCTGCTCCTGCTGCTGCTGCCGCCGCTGGTGATGAGTACGTAGAGTTTGCTCCAGTAGGACAAACTGCTAAGGGAGCTCATTCAGGCTCAAAGACAGACCGATCCAGAAGTGAGCCTATACGTGCTGAATCAGAATATGTAGGCTTTGAACCAGGGAATGTGGGCCCTGGTTCAGGATTCTCTAAACCCCAAAAAATGAAATCATTCTTTTCTTCTGGGATAAAATATGAAAAAGAGACACCAAAATCTGCCTCAGGAGATTCACGGGTAACAACATCTCAAAGTGGTCTTGCTTCATCCAAATCTGCGAAAACACAAGAAAGTGACTATGTGTTGAGTTCTCCGATAGGGAACACTCCTAGTATATCTAAAGGGGGAAACAATCAGAGTGACTATGTACTCAGTTCTCCTTTAAAAGTAGTGCACCCCCCACCTCAGGGAAGGGGGATGCCAGTGACTACATGGTTAGTGCTCCTATGAAACAAACAAGTACACTAGTTAGGGATGAGGGGAAGACGAAGGCCTCAGAATGTTCAGCTGATGCTGCAGCTGCTCAGAAGAAATGTTCCACTATAGTCCCACAATCTGCCAGTAGCGGATATTGTAACTTACAAATTTCTCAGAGAACAATGGCATGTCATGAAGGCACATCCGTGGATCCTCCGGTGTCTGATACCAACAAACAGACTCCTGAGACTGTGGGAGAAACGTGCAGAGGTGTTGAACATAGTGGAGTCAGAGAAACAGTAAATCCTCAGGCCAGAGTAGAGACTGTGAAGTCCCCATCAACAAAAAGGCAGGAAGTTGGAGGGATGAGAGCCAAGCATTATTCAGGAAGTGCTGCTTCTGCTTCTTCAGCGCCTGCTAAGACTACAGGCATGTCAGGTGGTGAAGGTGAACACAAGGTGAAGGATGGTCAATACCTAGAAGAACCAAATGCCAAGACCTTGACCCGCCCCGGAAGTACACCATCCATGCTGACCATGGATGAGACTCAGTCCAAACCTGCTGCTACTGGAGCCACACTCAGTGTTGATCCAAATCCTCGTAGTCGACACAGCATCAGTGATCTTAGTGCGTATGAGCAGATGACGTTCACTAGCAACATGCTGTCGTCACAACAACACTCATCTAGTAACACACTGTCGTCACAACAAAACTCTTCTGGTAACACGCTGTCGTCGTCACAGCAATTGGCAACCAGCAGTGAAAAGGTGCTGAATTATGCCTCCCTAGATCTCGGGTCCTCCGAGGCTGTGGGTGACAGTGACACTAGCTTGCGGTCACCACGGACAAAAAGTCGCCATTGTTCTGCTGCTGACGATAAGGGGGAGCCACCTCTTTCTTATGCTCAGATAGACTTCGAGAAATCAGAGACTCTGAAAGCTGCAGCTGGAAACAAAGATGTTAAGTTTACATTATGAGCTGTTACATTGTTTATTGATGCAGGAGTCTTTTTTGTCTTCATATTAGAAGCCAGTGTCATTTAAATCAAATCTTAGTGGTTGCTACCACAGCACAAAGATCAAAGGACATACCATTACAGATTAAGTCAGAACAACCTTTCGTGAACTTTGACTTGCTAATGAAATGATTGACAAGAAGTCGATATGAGCCATTCAGAAACAACTTTCTAGAATTTTAAAGTTTGCAATTCAAAATTTTAAATCTGCACAAATGAATATGCTGAAATGTGTACCAGATGTCCGAGATTTTTAGGCTTCCCACAGACTGGTAAGTCTCATCCGTTTGAAATGATTATTCCACTGTAGGGAGAAACAAACAATGATTTTATGTTCTGAATACCCTGATACACATTCCAACTGTCACTTGCCCCAACTGGTGAGCGACACTGTGATTAGTGATGAAAGGTCAATCTAAGGATGTCCTCCGATCTTTGTCTAGCCATAGCAACACTCAAGATCAGACTTTTATGAAATTGTATTAGAATTTATCTTCAGTGGGATGCTCTCTCACAATGACAAATTGTTGGCTACCTAGGAGAAGCAAGTTCAACATATCCTGTCATCTGGATGCTGTGTTTGGTGTGAATGTGTGCTGATGTTACTGATTCTAATGCTTTTGTAATGTGGCTCATGTTGGTAGGACCATGGCCAGCTCTTCTGTATCACCAGAGTGTTGACGAGATCTCCTGTATATGTGGCCGGTATGACAGTGCAGGGAATTTATATATATTAAATCTATTCATTTAGTTATTTAAATATATCTTAAACTGCAATATATTGCTGAGTAACCTCATTTTTCTTATTATTATGTGCCCTTGAACTCTGAGATTGATGTCAGCGTCAAAGCACATAGAAATTGCATGTTTCTATAGTCTCTCCTGAGAATGAACTGTTCATATCAAATATGTTGACAGTAGACACTATTGTACTATGATAACTCACATGGCCAAAGAGGTTGTGTGGATTTGTGTCGTGATGAGTGATCCATTGATTTTACCTGAGGTTATCTTCCCTTGAAACACAGTGAGCTAAAAATTTGCAGAGATCTTTAGATTGTAATTTGATGCTGGCCCAAATCACAACTAACAGCAGCCATTTTGGATTTTGCTGGATGAACTGCTTATCTGACTTCATTTGGCTTGTTTGTGTCTATATCGTACCTCTGGTACCACAACAGCAGTGTTCTTTCACCATTTTGCTGAAGACAACCCAAGAAAAAAGCAACTGTGAAGTCTTGAGAAGACATTTCAGTCACATTCTGGTCATCCTCTTGTGATCTTTGTGCCTGTCTGTCATCCAGCATGGCGGCCATGACAGCCATATTGAAGTATAAGAATCTAGCCCACTATTCTGAGGCAGTCTGCACTATGTCAGTGGTTTCCTTCAAGAAACTAGAAAAACTGTTTGCAGGCCAATATGTTATCACACTATTCAGATGATTTCTAACACATTGAATTTGTTATCCTCAATACTGGTTTTCATGAAAATGGATATTAAACTGCAGGAATGGTCCCTCTTCTGGGATCCCTGATTTGTTCATATCACCTTCAAGCAAATTTGGGCTCTTAATTGTAAACTTAACATGGTACTAGGGGAAAGGGTTACGGCCTAATCCGTCAAATTTTGAATAGTCAGCAGTGCCGATCTGTCCAATCATGCTTGAGTGGTTCTGTGCTAATCGGTCGAATTTCAGACCGTGTTAACACACTGGGAGAGCATTTTACTACTTTGAAATCAGAAATTCGACAGATCGGTATGCGACCAGGGAAAGCTGGTGTGAAGATTATGTGCAGTGGATCTGAAACATCTTTTTTCCTCAGGCTACTCATTCAGTAGGAGCATTGTAAAAAGAGAGTTTATACATTTTTACATATGGAAGGCATTGTGCTGGCACAATATTACCCAATAGGAATGATCATAGAATATGTTGGAGAAAACAATTTGACTTTATCCTTGTAAATGATATTTGTATTTTTAGTGTGTTTGTGGATATGATTTTGATTAGATATATGATAAAATGATAATTAGCAGCAGTGTATGAAATGTAGAATATATTCCCATGTGAGGCAAATGTTTCTCCTGACTGTCAGACTGAACCACACTGAAGGCACACTACAGTAAGTTGTGCCAACAGACATGAATGTTTCAGAGTTTCAAGTATATCCAGCGGAAGACATCAACTGTTTGCATGATTTTTCTTATTGCTAATGGCAGACATATTTGGGTACCAAACTATAGGTATGAGAAGAAAAAACATAATCTAACAATAGTTAAAGATTCAATGTACTTGAAAGTGGGTCCTCACAATAATATGTAAGAACAGTAATAGCGGGGCTGGGAAGTTTTGTTTTGATAGTTATAATGAACATGTTGATAATGACAGTAGGTAATTGTTTTCTTAACATTTTACTTATTTTTATTACAAGCAGGAAAAACACACAAAAATACCCACTGCCTTTCATTACAGGTATATTTTATTTTCTAATTCTGGCCTAAGAAGAAGCACAAGTAAATTTTACAAGAACTACAAAAAGTAATGGTATTTTAGCTAAAACTCTTGCAGTAGCTGGAAATGAAACAGGAGTCGTAGTTGTTCAGTCTGATAGTTATGGCAGAGTACTTGCTGTTGCTCCACATTGGGACCTAAATCCATCTGTTGTTATGACAACAGAGACCTTGTCCCAAGTTCCTTGTTTCTCTAGGGTCTCACTGTTGCCTCCTATATTGTTACGGGTGCCAAACATGTATCGTTACCATGGTTACTGTTAATTTTTAATGGCACACTATTAAAGTTGAAGTTTGTTGATCATGAAAGATAGCAGACAAATTATTTACCGGTTGCAGTATATTTTCAGCCACAAGTGCATTCTAAGTTGTGTTCTCTGCTGTGTCGCTCCTGGGGGAACTCATACGAGCAATGGTTTATATTTTGTAAATGTTAAAATATGAAGAAACTTTGCAGGGACAACCCAGCACTGTATTTGTGCAGTTGTGTTTTGAGAATGAGTACCAATCTACCAAAGATTACCAATATTGGAAGAAATATTGTACCATTGGAATTGTTGAATTTGACCGAATTCATGATGATGGTAATATGATAGCAAGGGCTGAAACTATATATATGTTCATTATTGATATTGCTAGACTGTATCACTGTCTGCACAGTATATTGTGGAAAGAATTGGTGACAAGGTTGTTGTTAGCGATGCAGATTTATACACTTTAATGGTCACTATGCTGATCAACTGATCCAGAGAAGTTTGAAGTTGTGTATGCCGATCTTATTGGTCATCTAATTGTTCCTTTAAACTGTTTGGCTGATCAAAGTGTGTCCTTGAATGTGATTGGCTGATGTTTTGTTACCTTGGAATTGATTGGCTTGTTGAATCATCTGCTTCTAAAACTTTTTCCAAGTGTATGGCTGCTAGACATGTATATTATATATATTGTTCTTTTTTTGCTTTGCTACAAATGGACATGATCATTATTGTCTGAAAGTTCTCAGTTGTGTTGGTCCAAATAATTTACAAGTGATGTTTTATATGGTTGTTTGATTTTATCTGTGAACATGAGGAGGAAAACTGTTGCCTGAGTTAAATGTAGGCGATTTGACAAGAAGGACTGTTTGTCCATGCCAGCTGTAGTTGGAGCTTAGTGTGTACCAGGTGTGATGTTATCATTTTGATAATTAATGCATAAATATCACCTCTAAACACACACAATTTCACACAGTGTATTTTACGTTTAGTCTGTGAAGAGGATTGACAGGGAGTGAATGGTATATTTAGCCACTGTAAGCAAGATTCAAGCAGTATCATGGCAGTGACACCAGAAATGAGCTTCACACATGTTACCCATATCGGGAATCAAACCCAGACTTGTAGTATTACAGGCAAATGTTCTAGTGCTGAGACAGCCTGGCTGCCCCAAGAATATATCAGATCAGATCTCATCTGTCAATGTTTGTCTCCATTACTGTCAAGTACAGTTTTAGATCCTCCACTAACTGAAATAATCTGTAAAATACAAAAAGAAAGATTATGTTATTTAAATCTGAAATTGTAGATGTCCGAGGTGGATGTACATCACATCCTTCATTGCCAATCCGTACAGGGCAGAAAATAGAAATCAAATGGAATCAGGTTTCTTTTCTTTCTTTTTTCATGAAATTTGAAACCAAAGTTTCCTGAAATATTTATGAAGTTTATATCAAATAGGAATTGGTCACATTGTCTTCAACAAGGTACATTTGTAAAATATGTAATTGTAACAGTTTCTCATGTATTTGAGAAACCAATTTCCATCAGCCATGGTTGAATGAAGAGGCTACTTCAGGAAGAAAGACAGCGATCTGATGTATGCTTGAACATGGCCTTGTTACGACAGTGTCTGAAGGATAGGTGCAGTGCCAGATAATGGTACTGCAGTCATGTTTTACACATGTATATTGTATGTGACATCATGTTAGAATGGTGAAAATAGCTTGCTGGAAATGATGATGTAGCATATGACTGTAAAAGAGCTTTACAATTTCTCAGGTAAACTTCAGACTTGCGTCCAGATAGTGCCAGTGTTTTGTTATATTTCCCAGCTGCTAATCTCTCACCTCCGTCTCGGCATGTAGACCTGTGTAGACACAGTTTTTCGAATGAGACACAGAAACATTCATTTCAAAGACGGTTGATATCTGAAGCAAAATCAGTTTTAGATATATCTTTCATAGTTTCAACATGTCTACTGCCGCTGAGTTGAGGTGTCGTGAGAACCAAGGTTGCCATTTTAGCGTCAGTGTGTTTCTGTATATCACGAATGACTGAGTTTGGAATCAGTTTTCCCTTCTTGAGTCAAGAACCACAACTAGTTGCATTGCTCTCACAAATTCAAATAATTGATAATGTGTCGTAAATCCTTAAGTATTCTTTTTAAAAGTAAAGTTTGATCACACAACTAAAATTAATTTCTTCTGGGGATTCAAGGCTGTGAGTTGAAGGTCATGAAATACACCTTCTTATGGATTATTGCACATGAACCAGAAATGTCCTGTTGTAGTGGGAAGTACTGTCATTAAGTCAGTGTATCCGCTGACTTCATTATTTATAGGACACTGTGACTGGTGACCTAAAATTTTACCGGTCATGAATGAAATTTGCCGGTCATATCCTATTACCATACTGTAAGTACTCATTTTAAAGTTATTTTTAGCCTGGGTATTTCCGAAACATAACAGTTTTTGTGACCATAGCCCTTACCCATGATGTTTTTATTTTAATACATGATTATTTACCGGACACGGTGTCCTGCTGGCTTTCAATTTACCAGTCCCCAACAAATTTTATCGGCGATTTTCAGGTATATACCGGAGAAGGGAAACACTGTTAAGTTCTCAATCAGACTTACACTTCTTTCTCGACATCCATTTAAAAATAATGATTTCTCTCAGATTCTATAATTTAGGAGATATTTTCCTGTGTGAAATAAACAGGTGTTTTACAAGCTAATGTTTTATTACTTTGCAATAAGTTCATATTGATTAATGATGATTGTTGATAGATCTTGATTTTACTGTTGTCAATGAGTTATATTTTATGTCAAATTTTATGATGGATATGTTTTTTATTTCTGTTGTGAAACATGCAATGCCGATCAGTGGCATGTTGTGAATATAGTCACATAAGGATTCTGTTTGTGTTTTATGATTGTGAATTTCAAAATATATTACATCATGTGCCCATTCCCAATCAAAGCATAATATTGTTTCTAACAACAATACAATAATAGAAATCTTATTTGAAATTTACTTGGCTCACCAATGTGATTTTTCAGTGATTCTCAGTGTCTGTGACATTGAAATTTGCATATTGTCGTGTTTACAAATGTACATAATTGCATAATTAAACCAGACAGTATAGATACCAAGCTAGATAAGAATGCTGTAAATTCTTTGTCAGTGTTTTATAGCTTCATTTTTTAGATTCATTTTTAACAATATTTTATTTTAATATCAAGTTTCAGAAGTTTTTTCAAATTCAAAACTCATTTTGATGAACATATACCTGTTTATCGTCTCAGAAAAGAGACACACCTATTGACTACTTCAGTTGACCAAATTGCCCTGTCTGTCATCTCAAGTTCTCTTTGATTCCACTCACTACCACTACATTTATCCAGAGAACATTGAACAATGGTTGTCACATGGTGTATATATTTGGAATGAAGGCGTCTAGCAGCCATACAAGTCTGTGTACATGTCAGCATGATTGGGCCGGCCTGAGAGCTGGTTGGCAAGCTGGGGGACAGTCCGAGGAAGTCATTCCCTCAATGTTCTCATTACCAGAAAGTGAATGTCATGTATACATACAACCAGTCTTCTGTTGTTTGTTCTGTACGGCCCACATCATTGCTGGGGAAGGCAATAGGGTAGCTGAGTGGACAAGTCCCCACGCATAATGGTGTTGGTCGGAGTTTGATTCCCTGCATGCACCATGTGGTGTGCCATTGCTGGAATGGTGCAGCCTTGAGATGCATACTGGTCCATGATGACTGGCATCACTGGGGTTTTCATGTCCTCAGCACTACTTGGAGCTGGGGCTAGTGTGTTTAGAAGGCTCATCATCCTACATGTTTGTTTATTTGGAGGGGTGGATCACAGGCCCATGTGTAGTCTGTCTCACAGTCCCTGAACCACATTATTTTCCCTTATGCCTAGCCCTCCCTGCAATGCTAAATCCCTAAATGAAGAAAGTGTAGATATTCCCAGGATATTTCCTGAATCTCCCAACTCACTGGGGCTCCTTTATAATTTATTTAAATGGGTATATATATATATATTCAGGGACTAAGGGTTAGTCTAGGCCATGTGTTGTTGCTTGAACATTTCCAAATCAATTAATATTTGTCAGAAATGCACTAACAAGAAGACATATAGGATAGTGCACTTTGTAATGCTTTAACAATTACACAATGGCCTGTAGGGTGGGATTGATGTCCTGTATAAAAGTGCTTGGATAGTTGACTGCCACACAACATCTCAGCTTCATCGGTGGGTGATGACAGAAATGTCATGTATAGTGTCAGAAGGTATCTACACACATTCTGTTACTGTTACACATACTTTACACGGAATTTTACACTGATCTTCCTCACTCATTCTGTACCTCTGTGTCACAGAATTATGAAGAGGTCATCAAGGTATTCTAAATACCCCAAACATATGAGTAGATACATTTGTCTTGAAGATATTCAATGATTTGTGCACATATAGATCAACATAGATTCCGTCATTAAAGAAATTAAAAAATGCATTAAGACCCTGGAGAGCACCGTACCATAAACAGATATTTACCCGAATCTGTCATTTCAACTATTAATCGAAGCGTTCGTAAAATACGCATATTGTCTCCCGACAAGAAGTGGCCTGGCTGAAACTGCGTGATAGAAATATGATGTAATGTATATGATTAGAGACAATATAAGATTTATCATATGGTTGTTGGTATTATTGACCATGGCGCCCATATTTTCATGCGTGTCGATCTGTATTGTTAAATGTAGTGTTTGATATCGGTGGCATTTACAGCTGCACATCATTTGAAACGAGGGGTTGAAGGTATGTATCCTATCTCTTTATAATCAGATCTTTTACTCTGGCCCGTCAAAGAGAAGAGTTCAACGGTTCTTGAGAAAATCAAGTGTCTGTTTTACAAAAGTACACGGTGTCGTGTCTCTTCCGCCATGATAAGGAAATGTCGATCAGAGCCAAGGATACAGAGAACCAGGGTATGTTGCATATTTATCAGCACCAAGCATCTCGACTGTAATCACTGCCTCCTGCAAGTCCTGTTTTGCAGGCACAGACACGTATGACGTCCCTCTTCTTGTTACTGTAAGGAGTGTTTCCCTTCGTTTCCTTAGTTTGTTTATTTTAATCTAATATCCCGGTACACAGTGATTGGGTAACTGTTAAAGAATATCCGTTTCATGCTGTCATTATGAAGTACATGAAGTGCACGAAGGGCTTGAAAACCTGTGCTCCATTGTATCGTGACGGAAGTGTTGTGTATCACACTCTGACTCTGACCACAGGGGCGGTGGGGTAGCCTAGTGGTTCAAGTGTTCGCTCGTCATGCCGAAGACCCGGGTTCGATTCCCCACATGGGTACAATGTAAGAAGCCCATTTCAGGTGTCCCCCCGCCGTGATATTGCTGGAATATTGCTAAAAGCGGCGTAAAACTAAACTCATCCACTCAGACCACAACAACGTGTTACTGAGGATTGCAACATCAGATGCATAGGTATGCTTGAATCTGTGTTAAAACGTCACGTTGCACGCGTCTAGGGTGTCGGCCAAAGTTTGAACAGCTGGGCATGGAATAGATCCCAGACATTTGGATCAGCTTCCCAGCGATATGTAGCGTTCTACCAAACAACGGGAAGACCGGTTCACTCTGATGGTAGGAAGACACAAAGTGCTTCAGGATTCCTAAACAGCGGCAAGCGTCCGCTATGGAGGGGCTCAGTCATGATTTGGGGTGGGATGAAGCTGGAAGAAGCAGTCTCCATGTACTACAGGGGGTAAAGAAGACCGTGCCGACAAGTGTGACCTCAACGTTCTTGATGCCTTCTTAGGGAAGGAGATCATTGTCCGCATGGGGAATCCACCAGACCCCAACCCTCTCGAACATAACGCCCGACGCTCCTCCCAGCGTTGGCTCGTCACGCCGAAGACCCGGGTTCGAATCCTCACATGGGTAGAATGTGTGAAGCCCTCTCTGGTGACCACCGCCGTGAGGTTGCTGGAATATTGCTAACAGCGGCGTAAAACCAAACTCAGTCAGTCAGTCCTCCCGGCGTCTGTACATGAACTCGGCAATGCCATTCCTTTGACGGCGTTGCTAGGCTGCGAGTTCTTTTGGACAATGATTTGTTTTCGAGATTTTTTTATGGGTGATCTGATTGATTATTTGTCACATGATGTCTAGTTCATTAAACATGTTTTCACTCGTATTGTCTTTGGTCTTTCCACAACTGCACACAATATGCCGTATTGACTTTAAAGTGGTGATCCTTGGCAAACTTCAGAAGTATTCATGACTAATACCCGAATACAGTAGCCCCACTCAACATTTACCCTTCATAGACATCATACGTAACCGATGTCTGGCAATAGTTCCCACTTAACCTAATAATGTTGCATCTATAATCACGGTTACCGATTTCAAACAGTCTATTTCTAATCAGTTCTTTATAGTCCGATCTTTAATAGACCTCCATATGCCTATTTAGGTAAACATGATCATAAGCCTTGGGGTTTCCAGGATTCATACCCTCATCTGTATATTTTTCGAAAACAAACTTAATCCGCTTGTTTTGCGCTGTTATACTGTTGAGGGTATTTAATAGTCTGCCGAGGCGACTCTCAAAGAAACATGTCAAATACAGATGGCATGTCATGCGTCTACGTTTCCCAAATGAAGGGAATCCGTGGGACCCTTTTTATGATACTTTTATGTCCCGCAGTGGTTTTTACGAGAGGCACTATATTGAAAACTGTCAGTCCATCCGTCTTTTCGGAAGCAGATCTTGAAAACCATACAGACGTATGTACCAAACCAAACCTAAAAAGTCCAGTGCTGAACTGGTGTCATGTGATTGTTTGGGATTATGAAAATGATTTTCCATCGAGTTTATTCACAAGTAGTTACCTTTTACATTAAATTAATTTATTTTTTCTGTAAAAAATATTTTGATTTCAGAGACTAGATGTTAGTCTGTATTTTAGTCACACTGTTGTGTCTTATGATTATTAAAATGAGATCTGAGTTCTTGCCACCGAACCTGAGTAAGAATTGATCTTCAGTAACCCATGCTTGTCGTAAGATGCGACTAACGGGATCAGGTGGTCAGGCTCGCTGACTTGGTTGACACATGTCATCGTTACCACTTGCGTAGATCGTTGCTCATGCTGTTGATCACTGGATTGTCTGGTCCAGACTCGATTATTTACTGACCGCCGCCATATAGCTGGAATATTGCTAAGTGCGGCGTAAAACTAAACTCACCCACTCACTCTTGCTACCGGAAACAAAGGTCTGTCTGGTATGTCATCAAACTGTTGGTAGCTCAGCACCGTGGAACCCACATGAAGGACCTTCGGACCTGGGAAGTGATTCTGTGGAAATTCAAGCATATTCGTTGACTAAACCACTTTTGAGACCTGAACATTAGTGGTCTGTCTGGTATCCAGGCAGGAAGAAATGAAGCCAAATCGTTGTAGAAAGCTGGTCCATAGGCCTACGCTTTCTTCATTTTTGATTGGCGATCACAGTTCCTTAGGTCTTGACGGAGGGAGGCATCGTAACCTGATCTTAATGTTTGCAGTTTTAAATTTGGTACGTTTCTGTCTTTAACGATGTTTGATGAAATCTGTTTTTCACATGTTGCAATAACGATCTAATTCCTTGTCCGGGTAGATAGTTTCCCTTTTGCTGGATGAAAAGTCGGTACTGTGGCAGTTTACAGGAGATAGCTTGTAAGATTTCATAAGGATACAGAATATTTACATACAGTTCGTCCGGTATAAACGTCCTGCAGTTCTATTTTTATGTGTGTGGTGTGAAATGTGGGACAATAGATCCTCTGTACTCATACCCTGTCTTTGCCTCGTCGTCAAACACATAGGCACTGACATCGCATCACATTGTCTCCATGTGGCTCACTAACAGAAGCAGTGGCTACAACGTGTGAAGCTCCTTGCTGATGTATCACGCCACTATTTTGATGAAGTATTGCTAAAAGCCTTTGTAACCTCAAACTCATTCAATCACATAAGTAACTTCGATGGGAGAATTATATCCCAACGGCTGTTCTTAGAGATTAACATCTTCCACACACACTGAGAACAGGACTAACGCTTAGTATCTGAATATATATACTTTTGATAGTAACATTTAAATTAAAAAGGATTCCTAGTGAGGTGGGAAATTCAGAACATGAGAATATCTAGACTTCCTTCAATTAGAGCTTTAGCACTGCAGTGAGGGCAAGGCAGTAGGGAACATAATGCGGTTCAGGGACTGTTAGACAGAATAACACTGAGAATGGAACCCTGACCCGCAGGCGATGAGTATTACCCACCTAGCGTCGCTCCGACACGCGTGGACTTTTAGAAATATTTACCAGACAAAAACTGGAACCGGTAAAACATATTTCAGGTCAGCGGAGGTGAAATCCCTCTTCAGCACCAAGGGTAACGGCCATCAAGTCATGCTTTACGACGCTACAACGACCAGCTGGAATGCCAATGGTCCTCGAGAGGTTTTTCGTTGATGAATCAAGATATGATAGAAAGTGCAGACTGCTG